ACACCTTTATTCGCGTCCTCAATGGCAACATCACTTCAAATGGTTGGCGCTCATAGCAATAAATATCTTTCTGTTGAGTCGATGTTCGAGAGACTTCAACTTCGACATTGGCTCCACCTTGAGAGCTATGCGCGCCGCGAGATTTTAGGAAAAAGAAAGGTGTTGTTCTTTCGAACAAATCTATAGAACAATGGGCTTAATCTCAGCAGATCGTAGTGACAAGGCTACTCTACTGCTTGCAATACCCCGTTACATTAAAGTCATCTGCAATGGATATAGTGCTGTCATCGTTGAGAAGACACCAGTGTAAATGAGAAGGATTTGTAGTAGGAAGTATCCATCGTGTTATCTTCTCGCATCAAGCGCGACCTGGAGGCATAAAACCTTGATGGGCTTGGGCTGGGGGGAGGGCTTATGTAAAGTACTGGCGACCGACTGATTACGTTCAACAAAGACAGACCCAGTCAACACATTGTCAATGTCTCTCTGCTCCACAATGGGGCCGTACTCCCTATTATCTCCTCATAGCATGCAAGGACACGCGCGAGGTTGACCGTCTCGATATACTGACAGGTTACGTGTCTGATAATTTTGAGTACACATGCGAGTGAACCGCAGAAGCTGTGCAGACATGGCTGTATGAAGCCCTGGTGGTCAAGTCTCCAGAGATCATGCTGCTCCAAGGATACAATTCTGCCGCTCGAGATGAACGCTGGCTCGGCAAGCTGTGCGATCCAGACAGTCGGAGTGTGACTATACCTCTCGGTGGTATGTTAAATGTCGACATCAAGGTGCGTTCTGTGATGAGAGGTGTAGGCATTCAAGTGAATTGCAGACATATGAACATGTCAACATATACAGTGAAGAAGGGGAATGGACTCGAGCTTGCAAGTGTCCACGGACATAAGGCTGTAGGCTGGCTCAGTGCTCAGTGTGTAGCCAGCAGCAGAGGTGTAGCCAGCGGTAGAAGTGTAGCTAACGACAGGAGTCTTTGTTTGGTTGGAATCAGCAGTATCCGCCTGTTCTGTGTGATCATAGAGATACACTCGAGCAAACGCGTCGGAGGATGTGTCATAGAGCACAATGGGTGTAATACGTATGACACGTATAAATGGGGACAGTTACAGGTAATCATCGAGTGAGTAAGTGTCAAAATCTGCGCAAACGGAATAGAAGGGAGACAGGGACAAAGAAGAGGCGAGCTGTGGATCGAGTAATATATTTATTGCAGGATTGCTGTTCTATTTGGGAGATGATGAACACGAGGACAGGAACAAGGTACAAGTCGTTTTCAAGGAGTACATGAACGAGAGAAATACAAAGGCATTTGAGATGCTTGGACAAGAGTAGAGGCAAGGACAGGGTAGAGGAAAGGACAGGGTAGAGGAAAGGGCAGGATAGAGGGAAGGATAGGAAAGAGGCGAGAACAGGGTAGAGGCAAGGACAGGATAGAGGGAAGGACAGGATAGAGACTAAAGCAAGATGAAGGCACCGAAGATTGGCATGTGGTGAGAGCAGGAGAGGGGAAGAGAGAGAGAGGAAGAGAGAACAGACCAGGTGTACTGGTGCTTAATGTGTGGCCAATGGATTTGGTCGACGCGGTCGAGCACAGCTTGCCACCTTTCGAATGGCTGGATCTCGTGAGTCACTGTTAGACCCTGTGCACAGTCGACGCCGTGACGGGCAAGACGCTGCTCTATGCACCACCATCGCATGCCAGCAATCAGGCCCACAAACTGTATCAGCACCCACGTCTGTGCACCTGCACTGCTGTCATAGCAGGTCGCCACAAGCCCCAGTGGGAAATGTATGGTCATTAAGAGACTTCCTACCGCACGCAGGATTCTGCAGCGTGTGTGGCGCTTCGGCAGTCTCCGACGTGCTAGGTCATCAAACTCCAAACACACAGTGTACTCGATCAAGCTTTTTGTGGTGCTTTGGTCATTCAGTAGGTACACTCGCTGTTTGCAATTGGCGTTGCACTGGTGTCCGGACTGAACAGCGGGCCCGGCACTGAGCACGATAAAGAACCAGCCAAGCCAGCCTAACAGCACATTACCTGCCCACAGCTGCATGTCGGCCCACGCCATGATCGCTGAAGCAACCAGTGGCCAACACGCAGCAATCCATCGCACAATGTTTGCATACGTTCCCGTGTGTGCATCTTCCTATGGGGATACTGTCATGCGGATGTAATGTTGGTAGACGCGATCCTGGGGCTTCAGAGCATACACCGCAGCTACAGCACGATCCTGCACTGCTGCGTAGACGCAGCTACCCATCTGCTTCATCCGGCCGTTGGAGACGGAGTAGCACTCTGCTCTTGCATTCCTCAAAGGCGCTACACCCACATACTCGTCCCAGTCGTTGATCCTGCCTGATAATGCACATGCTGTGTGCACCATCAGTGTCGCTCCGAGCTTGAACGTAGGGCCAGCCACTGGTTGGCACGCCCCATTAACCAGCGCTGTAGTCAGCGTGATTGCACCATATTAGTCTTTGTTGAGGCACTGTGTCAGCATTGCGGACGTCATGGCATCACATCCAAATGCACCCAATACTGCTAGTGCACTGGATACTGAGGTGACTGTGGTCGATGTTGACTCGTCCATGCTTGCTTTGTATTTTCAGGATATTCCGTGGGTCGGCTTTGGTGGTTGGACAGTTGTATGTAGAATCAAGAGTCCATTCCGAGGTATTTGTACTCTGTGAATTTTCTCAGCCTGCCACTCTCCCTTGTATTCCATCTCATGATTTATTATGAGGTGTCGAAGATGGAAGATTCCACCATGAGAATAGATTGATTTTGTGTAACCTTGGTGGGGCGAAGCAAATGTAAGGGCAATGGTGTTGGCCAGCAGCCACCGAGGGTACGCAGGATTTGATATTAGGTTTTGGGGTTGTGCCTGTATAAAAGGAGGATCGAAGCCAGCGATCTTTTGTTCCTTGTTCCAGTTGAACAAGAAGACCGTTGTGCTGATCACTCGCTACAGTGTGCGTAGTTGTGCGTTAGACTCTTGTATTCAGTGTGGAACACAAATTATTCGAGCATTCAGATTGGGAGTTTCCTTACTCCATACAACTGTAAAAGAACTATCTCCAAGCGCAACATTTATTTTGGTGATCTACGCAGGGGACAGCAATCGAGATGCCGACAGACTTGCAGTATTATTTGGATGGCCTTCCAAACTGGCCGTCCACCGAGGCCGATGTACTCACGGCCACAGGATGGGTTCGAGAGATCGGAGCTGTTTCCCAAGGTGAATCCCTGGGCAGAATGTTGTTCTCAGTGGAGAAGAAGACCACTGGCACAATGAAAGCGTGGGTGCGCCGTTGGAAGATCAGCGGATCCCATCGTCGTACGTGGTCCGAGTTCTGCAGCGATTTTGTCCAAGAGACCAGACGAACGAGGACATTCCTGATTACCATGGGGGAGATCGCCACGATTACCCAAGGAGCCGCCGAGACCTCGGCAGACTATATCGCCCGCATGAAGTGCACCGTTGAGCTGCTACCACCCCAGGAAGGCAGTGAGAACAAGCCGTACAAGGTGTCTGAGGACTACTCGCAGACCTTCGCATTCCACTTCTGCAAAGGACTGCACGAGAGTCACCCGTTCAAGGTCAAGAACAAGGAGACCCCGGCGACCCTCGACGAAGCGTTCAAGTTGGTGGAGCGCCTGTCCTCCGTGAGTCGTTGGGACGGAGTCGTTACCTTCGAGGATCGGATGTTACTCAAGAGTCGGGCCGCGGAGGGTGATGCTCCGAGCGATACTGTGTTGCTGGGCAATACGGCCGTTCCTGGCAAGCAATACGATGGGTTCGTCAAAGATTTCCCGAAGGACAAGGTTGACGAACTCAACATGGATGAGCTAACCGAGATGTTCAGTGCCTGGACTCTGGCCGCGCGAGGAGAGCCTAACGCAGCTTCCAGAGTTGCTAAGACAATTCGCCGGATGAATGTCACTGTCGCTCGCCGTGTCTTCGGGAGTACCGAACTCGCCGTACACATCGTTGGACCGCCATCTGCTGCTGCGAG